GGACATGCAAAGGATGATGGGGCATCAAAGAGGTGGAATGGAACCTGGAAACGGCATGGGCATGTTTCCTAGAATGCCTGGCGATGGTCCTATGAGTCCATCATCTAGGCTTCAAGGAATGGGGGGTAGAGAAATGGGGCCTGAGTTTGGCATGGGTCCTGGCCCTGGGCCGGGACCGCATATGCACCCTTCCAAACTACGAGATCCTGCCATGAATATGAGTCCAGATGAGATAATGAGAATGAGAGGAGGGGGAGGACCTCCAATGGAGAATATGGGTCCACAGGGCAGGCCCATGCAGGGTCCTGTCTTCCCTGAGCAGACACAGCCAGGAGACTTTCCTATGGGACCCGGGCGGCCATTCCCTGGTGGTCCTGGAGGAATGAGGGGTCCACATGCAGACCAAGCCTTTGGTCCAGAGCACAGATCTACACCAACAGGAGGCAATGGCCGTATGAACCACCTCCCTTCTGCTGGTGGCCCTTCACAAGCCCAGAGGGGTCGCAAGCCAGCAGATCTCAATGTCCAAGCAGGAGGGGGGAACTCCCCCAATGTCAACCCACTTAAGTCCCCACCTCTAAGGCAAGTGCAGTCCCCAATGATGGGCTCTCCCTCTGGAAATCTTAAATCGCCTCAGACACCGTCCCAGCTGGCTGGCATGCTCACTGGTCCCACAGGCCCTAATGCCCCTCCAGCTCCCCCAGCATCAGCACCAATGAAATCCCCCCACTCCATGATGGGATCAGCAGGCGCCTCTCCTGTTCATATGAGGTCTCCTTCTCTTCCTAATCCCTCTCCAGGATGGGCTTCCTCACCAAAACCCCCCATGCAGAGTCCAGGAATACCACCCCAGGGTGGCAAGCCTCCTCTCAGTATCACCTCACCAAATATGATGGGGAATATGGAGCAAGGTACAACAAGCTTTCTTCTTCTGCCTCTTACAATATTCATTTCTTCATTTTGCAGGGCATTTTTTTGAATTTTGATAATATATAATAGGGACTGTGGTAAATGGTTTAGTGATAAATTTGTAGTTGTCAGTATAAAGTTTCTGGTCTCTGTGATTGTTAATATCACATTTAAAATGCCAGATGATGTTGACAAAAACAAATCTAAAAAACTGAAAATAAAATGGATGTGGATGCTGACAATGTGGTACATCACTCGTGTGTTCACACAACTGCATAAGGGGTGGGGTTGAGTGGGTTATGGGCCAGTAGCTCCCTCTTATGGCCACTGCATCATAACCTGGTGAGTTAAACAACACTGTTGTAAAGGGTATCACTATTGCTAATATCATCACACATAAAAACAATCTGCCAGAGAATGAAAAGTCAACACTGCTATGTTTTATCATTTCCTTGTCATGTCATCTCCCTCTCATCTTATCATCCTCTAGGTGGTAACGGTCCTCCCTCAGCCCCTCCATCAGGGGCTCCATCTGGCTCCATGTCCCACCCAGGCAACGTCCCGTCTGGCAGTCCATACACCATACCACCTGAGCCAACTCTATCCCAGAACCCTCTCTCCATCATGATGTCACGCATGTCCAAGTTTGCAATGCCCAGCTCCACCCCACTCTACCATGATGCCATAAAGACAGTTGCCAGCTCTGATGACGACTCGCCTCCGGCTCGCTCCCCGAACCTGCCTTCAGTGAACAATAATGGTAAGACGTCTGAAATGTTGATTAATTCATTTGGTGTTTCTTTTAATATACTTTGCAATGACCTTTACTGAATATATCACCAAATTGTGTTTCTCTTGCTCATACAGGTATGGCAATGAACCACCAAGGACCACGTATGATGGTGCCTGGAAATGCAGGACCCATGCCAGCCCTCAGCCCTCTGGGTATGAATCCAATGGGATCCCAGCCCCTCTCCCATGGCATGCCTCCACAGATGCCCTCTCCAAATGCCCCTAATATGGGCCCAGGTATGATGCCTCATGGCATGATGATACCACCAAATCCCCAAGACCCAGGTATGGTAAACCCACAAATGATGCCCCAGGGACGCATGGGTTACCCTCATCGAAGCCAGGGATACCCCCTCACCCAGTCACCTTCGCAGCAAGGCCCCTTCTCCCCACACAACGGTCCTGGTCCTCAAGGTTTTCCTGGCCATCCCATGGGCTTCCAGGGAGAAGGAGGACCTATGGGAGGACGGATGGGGAACATGTCTCATGGGGGAGGGGGTGATGGAGGTATGTGCAAACCCAATACCCCTGGAGGGCCAGAGTTCAACAACATGCAAGCTGGATTCACTGATGCAGATCTTCACGAGGTGATGCGGCCGGGAGCGTCTGGCATTCCTGAGTTTGACCTGTCCAGGATAATCCCATCAGAGAAGCCCAGCCAGACTCTGTCTTACTTCCCCCGAGGTGGAGGAGACAACCCTGGGGGGAAACCACCTCACCCCTCTGGCTTTCCCATGCAGGGCATGATGGGCGATGGCCCGCCAAGGATGAGTATGTCAATGCAGGGGATGGGGGGGATGCCTGGGGGCCCTGGTGGGGGAATGGGACCTCAAGATATGCCAATGGGTAACCCCGGCCACAACTCGATGCGGCCACCAGGATTCATGGGCCAGGGCATGATGGGACCCCAGCACCGGATGATGTCCCCTGGGGGTCCGGGAGGGATGATGCAGGGGAGGCAAATGTCCCACCCAGGCCCTGGCGGTTCACCTAATATGATGATGTCACTGCAGGGCATGGGCGGCCCCCCACAGCAGACAATGATGATGGGGGGTCAGATGAGGCCACGTGACATGGACATGGGATTCAGTCCGGGCCCTGGAATGTTCTAATCCAACAGAAACCTTGTATCTAGAATGTTCTTGGACAAAATGCAAGGATGGAGTAAAGACCATGACATTTAGAGAGTGTTCAGAAATCTCTGATGGACTCAAATAAAGGAAGTATAATACGAAACAGTAATGTCCTGTGGGAACTATTCCAATGGAGACTCGGACAGGCTCAGATTTGGAGTCCTTTTTGCCACAAGAACATTTAATTTTGACTCATGAACTTCAGAATGTATGGGATTGTTGTGCATCGAATTCGCAAAACTGTTCTTGTGTTTTTTGATTATCTGACTATAAAGATGACTTCATCGTCAAAGAGGAATCAACCTAACTAAAAGTCAGCGTGGAGATGCTACAGTATATGTCTACTTTTTTCAAATTAAAAAAACAAACAAATTTGTCACGAAAGTGGTTTGGAACAAGAGAACGGAATAAGAAGAATTTGTGCTTTGTGAAGACTTTAGTGGAACTCCATCTTGTCTCTCGCTCCATTGTTTTGACTGTTTCTGTACAGTATATACGTGTGAGAGTGCGTATGCGTGCTTGACAGACTGTATGTTTGTGTGTTATGTATGTATGTGTCTGTATGTATAGGCATTCTATCAGTGACCTCTCAACTCCTCTTACCCAACTTTCACTGGGGGAGGAACGCCCCCTAAAAATACTGTACTGTTTACCATTGGTGGGCTATTCGAATTTTAGTCTATTTTAATTTCCTTTGTAACTCCAGTGTATAACAAACCAAACTATGACCTCATTAAGATAATAGTATTATTAAAAAAGCACAAACATGGACCGTCTGCAGAAAGCGTCTTCTTTCTCTATTTTTACCATTAATTGCAACACATTAAGTGTGAGCGTCCTGGCAGCTTTGCAGCACAACGATAATCTCTTGTCCATTTCAAGTTGTGGGCGATTATTCGACGCGGTGCTCTAAAACTTTCAGGACTCCAAACTTTCGCCAGTGTGAATAATACTGCTAATACCCAGATGTGCTCTGTGTGTTCTTCTTGTTCCTGTTGTGTTCCTGTTTTGTTTTGACTCTCTTGTTGACTCTGGGTAATAATCATTCCCACAGCAATAAAAAACCCCCCATGGTCAGCAGAATGGGACAGGCGTGGCTCAAATGCCACAGCAGGTATGCCAGGTATTATAGAACTAGTGCTAGGTAGATCTGGTTAAATTTTAGTGAGGCAGGTGTGGTGTCTGGAGCGAGACACACGGAAATGTAAACAAGTACTGCTTACCATCCAGTTGACTTCCTCTTTTCTCTATTGTATAAGCTTGTCATGTGTTTCTCCATTGGCTTTGGTGCAGAATAGCCTACCAGGGCTGTGGTGATGGACTACAAATAAAAGATATTGTTTTGGTATATACATGTTGTCCATGTAGTGTGTGTGTGTGTGTGTGTGTGCGCGTGCGTGTCTACGTGGCTCTACTTGCATGTAGTCAAGTTATGCGCACTGGGTGATGTCTCTTGTCATTGTACTGTCAAACCGGCTCACCAACATTCAGCAAGAACAAATTATACCAAGATGCAGTGTTGACATTTTATCAGAAGGTACTTTAGCGAAAGCTATTTTCAGAGGACACCACACTTAATAGACGCGAGCATGTTGACTCGAGTGAACACCAATTAGTCTTGTTTACTTAGCTGGTCTGAAAAGGAAAAAAAGAGACATCGCAGAGATTAAATTCTTTATTTGTTCCTCACAAACCAAATCAAATGTTACATTTTATGCCACTGGTCATTGGAAACTCCCACTGACGAGGTATTATATGTGTTATTGTAACACAGAAAAACTTATGTAATAGGCATGTGTTCATACAGTATACTGTGTTCGTAACTACCAGCAAATCCCCATAAAAAGGCAACTTAGTCGTCATAATACAGAATTCCCTTTCTGTAGCTTCCACCTGGGTATGGAGATGTCCATCTCCATACTTATGTACAATCCACTTTATGCGTGCCCCTCTTCTAAATACACTGCAAATACAGTACATGAAATGTTAGTTACTCCCCTGAAGAATGACTCGATATGAAAGCATTAAATGAACAGAATGACAGCATTAACAATCAGGTACAGGCTCTGATGATGCCATATGATTCAACCTTAACGATTATTGCTGTTAAGATTAAAGTGCAGTAAAGGTTTGAACTTTGAAGAAAAAGGCAGAATATAGTCTGTATTTTTTCTTGTCAACAAATCCCCAAGAGCTAAATTCACGATTTATCCTATGAACAAGAATGACTGTTGTTTATTTAGTTTACGATTGTTGTCAGATAACTTCAGAAGATCCAGGATGATATGTTCCTTAATACAACGAACCTGAGCACAATTTACTCCCCATGTCCAAGAACCATTCACCAAAACTAGTCCAGTCATTTTAAGAAATCTTTTTTAAATGAACTGTGTTTGTGATCTGTTTTAATAGGACTGCCCAATTTGTGTTGAAACTAAATCATATAAATTAATATTTTCTGTAGGAAGCAAGTTTGAATTTGCAAGATGTAAACATAAAATAATGTGGCAGTGTAATTCCATCAATGCATCTGCATTGGTGGTTATGCTTCGTGCTGTTGTGCATCACTCGTGTTTCAGGTTGAGCTTTCTACTGAGTCAGAAAACTTACATTTACATTTAACCTGTTAGCGCACAGTGAGACCAGTATATACGTAGTAATATAAGTAAACTACATGAGCTCTTCCTGTCAGAAAGAGAGTGTTTGTCACTCAAAGGGTTAAATGAGAACAAGATAACTTAGGAGTTCTCATCCAGCACAGACTCGTTATTTTTCTAGAATTAATCAATCAAACTTAATAATAATTTTTGACAACCCTGGTTCATTGTTGGTTTTAGTATTTTGGGATTTGTTGACAAAAAGGAACATCAGGAATAACACCACCCTTTATCACAAAGCCAACAAACACCTATGTACTAAGCATGTGATAGCAGATAATTGCATAATAGACTTTTTCCAGTGTTGTCTGAAAGTGAGGTATAATGATGATGGAAGGAAAACTGAGCATGTGAAAAAAAAACATGGTAAACATGATACATGAGGATTTGTTGTAGGTTCAAGGCTCAGTTAGGCCTCCTGTGCTGTCACAAAGTGACTGGTAGAGTTCTGAGCTCAGGGAATACGCTGAGAGGGCCTCCTTAAACTCCTGCAGGGGGCAGTAGATGCCACTGCAACCTGGAATATGTAGATCCTAAAGACAGACAAGCAACATGAGTCACTCACAAATAAATGCAACGGCTCATCAAATGAGTGTCGACACATTGTCACCCCCATACCTGGCCTACGTACGACACTTTGACAAAGGCCTCATCGGTCTGCCGGTGCTGGTGCAGCTCCAGGGTGATATCCGCCGCGTACGGTGGCCATTTCATGTCAAAAACCCCCAGAGCCATCAGACAGGGGATCAACGTGGTGTCATGTGCAGAGTACAAAAACAGCTTCCTGTTAGAGAGAGAGGATTCAAACAGGAATACACGTGAAGGCCAAACACAGTCGACGACGTGTGTGTGTGTGTGTGTGTGTGTGTGTGTGTGTGTGTGTGTGCGTGTGCGTGCGTGCGTGCGTGCGTGCGTGCGTGCGTGCGTGCGTGCGTGCGTGTGTGTGACTGGGTGTGTGACTGGGTGTGTGACTGGGTGTGTGACTGGGTGCGTTGGACCTGAGGTGTCCAACCTGTTTGGCTCCGATGAGGTGCCCTGCACTTTCTCGTCCAGGTTGGTTAACAATGTGTGCAGGAGTGGTCCCACACACAGCTGCAAGTTCTCTCTGCCAGAAGCACAGCAGAAGAATTAAATGACCCGGTGAACTTTATTAAACTATGGTAAATTCTCTTTATCGACAGTGAGGGAGGGTTATTGTAAAACCGTGAATCTAACCTCTTGCTGGGTTCATAGACGTGGCAGATCATATCCACAGCTCTCTGCTCCACCTTGTTCCTCCAGGTGTCCAGCACTGGCGGACAGGCAAGGCCGTGTGTCTGTTAAAGTTCAGAAACAACACACAGAATCAGCCGAGTTGTGCAGCGCAAGCAGAGAAAAGAAACCACCAAAATGCTGTCTATTTTAGAAAACCCCCAGGAAAAAGCAAATCAATTTGAAATCATTTTTGAACCCACACATGGATTTATTTTTTGTTTGAACAGAAAATGTCTGAAACGGTCTGATCATTTGAATGAGTTGTAACTGATACCAGGAGGATCTGAACATAATTAGTGAGAATGAAAGGCAGGTATTCACTACTTGGTTAGCCTGATAGGGAAAATTGAGATGAAATTAAATTAGTGAATTCAGCAAAGCTCAGTATGGACCACCCTGCTGTCTTGTTTCAGATTGTGTAGTCGTCTCATTGTGCGCTGTTATACCCTGAAATTAATGCATTTGAACATCTACAAAAGTACCCCCCCCCCCCCGAAACTGATATAACTCTTATTGTTTAGCTTTGTAAAAAGTCCATTGATGATTTTCGTTCACTGACTGAAGTCTTAAGATTTGACATCTATGCTTCTATTTTAAATGATCTTAAATGAAGACAAAAGAGTAAAAACCATATAAAACTCAAGTCCTGCTGGATTTGTTTTTGTAACTTACTAAAAATCTCTTGAAACGCTGTAGGATGCAGCCACCTCGACATCTTCATAATAATTATATGTATACTGATAGCTAGTGGTGAGAGCTAATAAAAGTCATATGAATCGTGATGTGGCGGTGTCACCTCTCTGGCAACCATGTCGTCCCTAATGAGGATGAAGTCGACGTGCTGGTGAGCGGCGATGCCCAGTGCGCTCTGGATGCTCTGCAGGTCTACTGCAATGTCTGGCAGAGTGGACGACTCTGCCCAGCGGTGGCTGCACAGAACACACAGTGTCAGCCACGAAACACAGATACACCATGACAACCTGTCAGAGGCATCTCAACTCTGCTTATAATTTTGCACAACACATTATTCAAGGTTCCAGTTTTGGGTGGTGAACGCACAGGATCACCGAGGCCTGACTGTGTGCTGGGTATAAAAAAAATTCCCTCTGCCTACCTGCTGAGGAGTTTGAGCAGTTTGCATCCGTGATAGTTTGGATACAGGATTTCAGATTCTGCCTCCGTTGTTAATATATTAACAATTTCTGCAAGCAGAGGAGAAATGATAAAAGGTGAGATGAGATGCAGAGCAGAATAAATTACATTATGCACATCTGCGTGTCTGCACTACCTTTTTGTTTTTGCTGAAAGAGCCCTGCAACCAGGCACTTGGCAGATTCAATGGTCCTCACGATGTTAGTGGAGCGCACACTAAAAATGAAAAAAAAAAATGGAAGGCAGCCAACTTAAAAATAGGAAAAGCATTTAGGCTGATATCCTTTGCACTGAACTCATAAACCCAATGTAACTGTGGGGTACAGAAAAGTTGTTTGTGCTTTTTCTACCTGTCAAGATGTGCAACACTTACTAGACCTCAGCCGGAGTAAAAGTGGAGCCGAGGAAGGGAATCTCCTCGACGTACTTCCTCCTCAGCCTCGATCCAAGCTCGTACAGCTGCTGCATGCCCACTGTGGTCAGCTGACCGGGGAACGTGCCACCCTGCCAGAGGCGGCAAACGGGATAAAGTCTTACTCACGGGTACGACCCACTAAGCTTGGCAGGCGTCCATGCTGCAGGATTTAGTTTGCAAAAGCTGAACACGGTTAAACCTTTTGGCAAAGCAGAGAACTCAAGACAGGAAACAAACATTTCCCTGGACACAGTTCAGAGGTATTACAGCGAGACGGTGGATGAATGAACCTGGTCCAGGGTCGTGTGGTGTCTTTGTAATAAATATTCGTGGCCAGTAGAGGCAATAGGGGGAATCAGTTGGGGGAGGCGGTGGCTTTTCCCTCAAAAGACTTGAACTCGTCATTACAAAGAAAGCACAGAGAAACCAACTGTGCTGACGACTCTCGGGCCCAGGGAGTGTCCAGGTAAACTGTGTCAGATTGCACAATGTCAGGTTTACTCAGTGTTAATGTTTACACCTGCTATGACGTGTCTGAAGGTCTGCTCTGACAAAGGCCTCCCGGCCGGAACCACTGTCATTTTGTACTTAATCACTTAAGACTCTTCTGTTACACAATATTGCAAGAAAACCAGGTTGTTTTTGTGAACACATTCAGCGACTACTACCCAAAAAGCCTCAGAAGCAGCTACACAAGTTTTTGCGATTCAATTTGTTCCCTCACCGCCTTCATTGTCTCATTGCATTTAACACTGCAAGACACACCTACTCACAGTCAGTATGTTCCTCCGATAGCTGTCTTCTACAGGCGCTGAGGGCCTGGGGCCGCCGTGAAGATCTGTCACCACGTAGTTGATGTGGGTGTGAGCTGGAGGCTCCAAGAGCGTTGGCAACCACTGGACCTTTGAAAAGACAAATGTGCCCAGAAAATGATTCGCATAGATGTTAGATATCTTCACATTTATCTTCGTCACAAGCACTTAACGAAGAGGAAAAAGAGCCCTACCTCCATCACATTAGGTATTGACTTTAACGGGGTTCGAGCCCCGTGTCGGAACAGGACTTGGACCAGTTTCAGTTCGTAGGGAGAACTGGGATTTGTGTCGGTAGCGGTGCAACTGGAGGCAACGTGGTCGGAGTCGGTGCTTTTCTGTGACCACAGCATTGAGCCGAAAGCTACGGACACTGAACCTAAAATGCCGGCCTTAGTCCAAAGAGTCCTCATGGCTGTGCTGTGAACAGAGGGATCAGATAGTCTTAGTGTGTTTGAGTTAAGTTCACAAACCTCAGGCTTAATATTTAGAAAACAATATGTACATTTAGCAATAGCAACATAAATATTATCTTTGCTGGTGTTTAAAAAAAAAAAGGTTCGGAGTCGGCCACAGTTTACACAAGAGCTCAAACTTCCTGTGTTAAGTGGTACGACTGCAGCGAATGATTCATGTATCAATGATTTATCAAATATCTGAACTTTATCGAACAGCTTTTTTTTGTGTGTGGCCAACACCTCAAGAAGTTTCAGTTTGATCATCAAGAAAACTTTCACCACAAAGTAAGAAATCTTCTTCCATTAGCAAAGAAATGCATCAATCATTAAAAACGTTGCAGACTTTGTTTTCTAATTTATCCATTTCAGCCAGGCATGCATTAACTAAACATTTTCTGAACGTGGAATCAAATGTACATTATTTTCTCACTTGATTGACAAATCAAATGATATCTGAAATGTTTTGAGAGACCATTGAATTAGAAATTCTTTCAAATGCTTTGACTGAAGATCAGTGCAAGAAAATCAGTCAGTTGAGAGGCTGGAACCAGAGAAGTGTGGTGACTGAAATGATCGATCAGCTTTGTGAATCAGGGCTGTGACTATTGATTCATTTCACTATCAACACATGTTTTTCTAGATTTAATTAATAATTAATTGTTTGGCCAATAAAACATAAGAAGGCAACATCATTGTGCTCAAGAGATCAACTACAGATGTCGATCAATGATCCAAAAATTAATATCACTTTAACAGCAACTTGAAGAACCAGAGAAGCAGCATATTGATCTTCATCTATTTGAGAACCTGGAATCACCAAATGTCTTCAACTTTAAAAACGAAGACTTCAACTGATCAGCTCTGAAAATAGTTGCAGATTAAATTTCTGTACATTGACAAACTTGAATGGATTACTGTAAGTTTGTTGCAGCACTAATGACAAATGAACTAAAGTCGACGGAAAGCTTTAGCTCTATTTCAAGCTTTGACACTAGTTATGCACCAACCTGCTGAGTTGAATGAGCAGTGACACTGAAGAAGAGGAGGAGGAGGAGGAGGAGGAGGATGAAGAGGCTGTAGCAGTGATAACGCAGAGTTAGCTCCAGATCATCACTGGGGATTTCTGTTCGTGATGGAAGTCACACAAAGACGAATTAGAACACGTCAACAGGTTTAACACGAGTCCAACAGTGAATTCAATATAAAGTGAGGCTTTAAATGTGTTGTTGCTAACTGTAGCACGTAGAGGAACTCTGTGTGAAGTGCTAACATGCTAACATGCTAACATACCCTCTCTCTCGCACATGACGGAACACGTGACGCAACACGTGACGTGTGTCTCGCTGTGACTTTTCTTACCGTTAAATTAAAAACTGTTGAGTTTCTCCCGGGAAAAAAAAACAAGGTGTTCAGACTGAGATCAATTCATTCACCAGGAGACTGTCACCGCGGGTTCACGCCGAAGGGTATGCTGGGAACTGTAGGGAAGATAACGTCAGTTAACGTGAAAGTTGTGAGAAAAAAAACTACATTTCCCGACATTAATATTAAGTTTGACCTTCTCCTCTTCTTCTTCTTCTTCTTCTTCTTCTTCTTCTTCTTCTTCTTCTTCTTCTTCTTCAAAGTCTGCTGCTGCCATCTACAGGACGTAAGTAATAATACTTATAATA